CTCTATTTACACTAGAGTTTTATAGACAACTGTCCCATTCCACCCCAGCTCCAACCCTGGCCCAGAAAGTGAGGGGCGGCAGGTCTAAGGGACAGAGATTAAGTGTCTAGGGACCCAGACAGCCTCCCACCCCCAACTGTAATGGGTCCACGTTCAAGTCCACAAGGTGGGAAGGAAAGGTTAAGGTTGGACCGTGAGCCATTCATTCCCAAACCAGCCTCCCTTGGGAATTCCTGCCTTGAAGTGGGACAATAATCCAAGCTCCAGGGGATAGGCTGAGGACCCTGAGGCTCAGTTCCCAAGTCACGTTGTCATTTGGAAGTCCCAGCCTGGAGACTGCGGTGTCAGGGCTCTCCAGATTTGGGAGGCCCCCCTAACCGCCGGGCCTCTGGCCGCAGTTCCTTGCATTTCTGGCAGTAAAAGAAATCAGGGACGTTGGTCTTCTTGATCTTAGCACAGGAGAGGTGGATCCAGGTCCCACACAGGCTGCACTCAATCATGGGCCGCCCTGCAAAGGGCTTTCGGCAGTAACATGTGATCAGGTCCCATGAGTCATCACCTGGGGAAAGAAGGTTTGGTTGGTGTTCTGCCTGAGCGCTTGGGTCCGCAACAGCCCAAGCCCATCCTCCAGCTAACCCTGGGCAGCCCCAGACCTCTCACCTGATTCTACCATGATGTCCTCATCCATGACCCGCATCTCGCCTTCACTCGAGCTGGCGTCTCCATCTTGGCTCGTTTCAGTGCTGCCCACTTCCTTGCTCTCGCTGTCAGTGGGAGGGGCTCCTTCAGGGTGCACTGCAGCAGGGGGCCTAGGAGCCTCGGGGGGTGTTGGCAGCACAGGGGCTGGGGCTTCACCCCCTACCACTGCTGCCATGTCTTCCTCCTCCTCCTCTTCCTCTTCTTCCTCCTCCTCTTCAGAGTCTGTATCACTGGGGGGTGCCCGGGGAGGCCCAGGAGGTGGGAGTCTATCCCCCCGATCTGCCTTTTTCAACTTCCGTTTCTTGCTCTTTTTAATTCGAGACCTCTTTTCCCCATCCCCAGGAGCTGGCCGAGGCCTCCGAAGCGCCCCAAAGCCAGCCCCCCCTCCTGGCCCCAACTTTCGGTTCTTTCGGTCCTTCTTTCGAGGAGGTTGGGAGAGGTCCCCCTGGGAAAGGGGTACTGGGGTGAGAGCAGCAGGGGGCCGGGAGGCATGGGTCAGGGATGTGGGGGACAGTGGAGATGCCATTTTGGGCCCATCTAGATCAAAGAGAGAGTCCTTGAGCTTCATCTTCTCAAGCAGGGTTGCACTGTCAGGGGCCTGCAGACGAGAAAAAGTGGACCTCGGGGGTCCTGGCTGAGTGGGACCTGCTTGAGCCGCCCTTCTCTTGGATGATTTTGCTTTCTTAACAAAGGTCTGGATGGTTCGGAGGTCTGAGGGGGCCGAGTCCCAGCCGTCACTGTCGGCCGCGCTCTCGCCACGCAATGGAGAACTGGAGCCAGAGGCTGGCCAGTCACTTTCCTTGAAAGGGGACAGACCAGGGTCAGCAGGCGGCCCGGTGGCATCCCAGCCCCTCTACGAACCCAGCTTGAAAACCAGGGACAAGATCTACCTGGATATATCCTGCCCAGACCACCCAAAAATCACTACACTCAGAATTGTCCCCTCCCCGATTCCCCTCAGCATCTCCTCTTGCAAACTTCCCTGTTGCCCCTGCCCTCAGGTTCTGGCCATCGCCCCAGTCCCGCCTGCCTCACAGCACTGTCTCCCCCAGACCAGAGCCCTATTTCTTTATGTCTGTTTTCCTTCAGTGCATTGAGAAGCACCTTCCATGAACACCCCCAGGCCATTCACTGCTGCTCAAGCCACCCCAAGGGACTAGTGTTCCCACCAGTTTCCAATTTCCCTGCTCTTCCCCATCACATCTGACAGGTTTCTCCTATAAAGTACCGCAGTCCCCTTTGCTCCACACCCCTCTACGGCCTAGGACCCCACCGTCAAGCTGGCCGTCCTCCAGACCCTACCTCTTTGCTCGGGGGGATGTAACCGGCATAGGCCAAGACAAAACTGCAGAATTTGTTGAAATCCTCAATTGTTCTCCGACGCTTCTCTGGTGGCTGAACGGAAACATGTATCGCAAGGAATTGAAGAGGGGCATTCCCATTGAAGAGGGGCATTCCCGAAGGTATACTCCCCTGAGTGAGGGATCTAGAAAAGGCCAGAGGAGGAAAGAGGGGAGGGGGAGGGCATCCGGCAGTAATACTAGGCTGCAAAGGTAAGGGAAAGCTCACCTGAGTTTCTGGCTTCAGGGTCGGAGGTGGATCTGTGAAAGCAATAAAAGCTGAGTCAAGGCACCAGCAAAGAATCTGTGCGAAACCCCACCTCTAAATCTCGGAGGTCCCAAGCGAACCCCTCTTCCCTCAGGTCCCCCAGCCAGGCCAGCAGGTCCCCAGCTGTGCTGGACCCGCCCCTGCTCCCCCTTCCGCCCTGCGAGGGGCGGAGCCAGGGCGCGGCGCCCTCTCAGGCCTCGCTATAGCGCTCCCCTTCCCCCCACCGGAGGCCTGGCGCCCCGCCCCCCCAACTCACGGTTTCTCTAGACTCCAGTCTACTCGATCTCTTGGCGCCCCACCCCGCCATACCGCTCCCCGGACCGAGCTCGGGCGGCCGCCTGCCCCTGTCCTTCACACGCGCCCAGTGCCCCGAGTTCCTACCCGGTCGCGATCTACCGCCCGGGGCCCTCCGAGACCGCACACGCAGCCCGCCGGCCCCCAGGGTCCAGGATGACCACGCTGAACCGCTCCCCGCCCTCCGGCCCCTTCTACTCGAGCACGAGGCCCGGCGCGCCCCTCACCCCCACCCTAAACACACACAGGCACACACATCCAACGCCACTTCGCGGCTGGGACAGACCAGAGAGCTCTAACCCGGACGCGGCCCCACCTGCCCCCCCCATACCGCGCTCCCCACAATTTCGCCGTCCCTCCGCCCCCATCCGGGGCTTTGGCCCCTCCCCGTCTCGAGCTCCTCGGGCTCCCCGCCGGGCCCCCGGGCCCAGTTCCGAGCCCTCCGGCCGCCGCCCCCCCCCTCCGCCCCCGTACTCACCACCAAGTGACTAGGCTGCGGACCCCTAAACTCTAGCCCCCCCCGCCCACCGGCTACTCTCTCTCTCTCTACGGCAACCCCCGCTGCTGCCGCCGCTGCCCCCCTCACCCTCCGCAACTCCCAGGCTCTAGCCCTCGCCGACCACCCCCCCCCCCCCGCAACTCGCCGGTCTCAACCCCCCCACACCCCGCCCCACCGCCCCTACAACTACCCGCCTCTCCTCGCTCCCCAGCTCTCTCTCCCCACAACTACCCGCCCTGTACAGGTCTCTCTACCGCAGACAATACCCAGACCCCCTCTTCTCCCCACAACTATCTGCCCACCCCTCCAACAATCACCGGGCTATCTCCGGCGGCAACTACCCGGAGCTCCACCGCCACAAACTCCCCCGCCTCGGCGAACTACAGGGCTCCTCACTCAGTCCTCTTCTACATCCTCCCTCCTCAACAACTCTCCGGCTCCCAGATTCCCCCAGCCTCCCAGCCTCAGGGCCCCAACGTGCTGGAGGCCCTTACGGCCCCTAACCCCCGGAGCTCCGGGGCTCCAGCTCCCACTCCCCACCCCCCCACACACATTCACGGTGTCTGATCTCCAACTACCCCCAGCCCAGTCTCCCACTCCTCTTTCACCAAGATCTCTCAACTCGTCGCTCTCCCACCTCCAGGGGCAGGCCCCCGACCCCCGACCCCCTCCCCGCGCTCCCCCGCTGGGCTCCGGGGCTCGACCTCCAAGTTTGCCAATTGATTCCTCCCCCGCCCCCCACCGGCTCAGCGCTCCGTGCCGGTCGAGAGCTCACCTTCGGGACTGGGCTCCGCCATGGCTTCCAGCATCGCCCCCTCCCCTCCTCCCGGTCCGGCGCCCCCCTCCCCTGAGCCGGGGATCCCGGTGCCGCCTCCGGTGCTCGGTGCTCCTACTGCCTCGCTCCACAGAGGTGTCTGCCTCGGCCCAGTTATGACTCGAGTCCGCTAGCCGCTGCCGCCACCTCCCTCTACCCCTGCCTCCCGCACTCCCGGACCGGGCCCCCTCCCCCCGCGCCGCCGGCCGCCTGCTCCCTCCTCCTCCTCTCTCCTCCCTCCCTCCTCCTCTCTCCCTCCTCCCTTCGCGGGTGCCGACGCGCAATGCATCAAGGGGCTTGTAGTCCGTCCGGGGGCAGCGGAAAGGGGACTGCATAGGCCTCCGGAACTTCAGTTCCCAGCAAGCCGAGGAAGAGCGCAGGCGCACTAAACCGCTCCCCTCCCCCGGGGAGTGGCGGGGAGATTGGGAGCGGAGGGTAGAGCGGAAGAGCGCGCGCAGGCTCCTGGGAAATGTAGGCTGGGCGGGACTAAGAAAGAAGGAAAAGAAGGGATTAGAACTCTCGGCCACCATACTGCCTCATTCTGCGGCTTCTTTCTCCCCGCGGGGGACCGCCCCACTTCCGGCCAGACGGAGAAGGGGTTGCTGGGGGATGAAGTTCTCCCGATAATAATGGCTCCCTCCTCCCCGTCTTCTCCCTCCCTTGAATTCTACCCACCGCCACAAAGTCTGGCCAAGTGAGATGCAACCGAGGACAGAGTCCTCTGACCAGTTCCCACGCACGAAAAGCTCTTCCTTAATCCAAAGGCCATTACAAACTTGGATGTACTTCTCTAAAGCAGGTACTTTCAAACTTTCTCCCCAGGAACCCAAGGTAAAAAACAAAACAAAACAAACCACTGTATTTTTTACATCGGGACCCAATACACACGTCTATAAAACTAAAGTTTCACGAAAAGACACTCGGAGTATTCCATCGCAACAAAAACTTTTTTTTTTTTTTTTTGCGCAAGGAAAAACCCAACATCAACAGAATGAACCAAAATATATTACTACCCCTCCAACCTCCACTTTCCCCACCAGAGGACAACTAAAAAGAAAAAGAGGGCAGGAAGCAACACAAAGCAAATTCCAGTTCAGCTTGGTGGTTTCCTCTTTATTGATGTGCCTCCTACCTTCCCCCCACAATTTCAGTCCCTTCCATCTACCCCCAAAAAAGAAAGTAGTGAAAGGAAGGGAATGTTGGGGTTCTGAGCCCCTTGGGCAGTTAGAAAGGGAACAGAAACCAAAACAATCGCTGGATGTGACAGATTGACAATCGAGAAGTCTAAAGCAGAGTGGGAAGGGTGGTAAGAGAAAGGGGAAAAAGGAGAGGTCCAAGAGGTCACCTCCCCCACGAGCCCTCCTGCTAAGAGGGGCTGGAAGAGAGCCTCAAACATTAGGAAGTGCAGGTCCTGAAGAAGGGAGGTGGTGGTTGAGCCCGGAGGAGGAGTAGGTCAAGGAAGGGGGGGCCACCTCTCTCTTTGTAGAACGGGACCCCCCACCTCAGGGGGAGCAGCTTCACAGACCATAGACACTTTCATCACTGTAGGCGATGTATAGAAAGAAGTCTTCTTCATGGTGTTCCTGGGGCAGAGGCAGAAAATGACGGGACTCAGACATCTGGGCTGTAGTTCCTTGAACCACCCACTGCCCAGACCCATTCTTCAAAAGCCCTTTTTTCTGAAGAGCCCCCAAACACTCATGCCCTGACTCACTCCCTCACTTGTTCCAGGCCTTAGCAGCCAAGTAGTATTAGCCCTAGCAACAGTGCTGGGCAAAAAGATCACAAACTGTTCTCTGCTGCTCTGGGAGTGGGGGAAACTGGAGAAGAGTGAGGGTCAGAACTGAGCTCCACTGTTCCCTCCCTCCTCTCTACTCCTACTGCCCTTGTCCAAACCTTCAACCCCTTGTCCAAACCAACTACCCCAAAATCTTGAGGCCAAAGATAAAATTGAGAGCTAAACAAGCCAGCTAGTCCGAGAACTGCTGACCTGAAACTCTCTTCCTCTCAAGCTCTTCCAACACCTCTCCAAAGCCCTGACCCCTCTCCAGTCACCGTACCTGGTATAGCTGACCCATTGTGGCACTGGTGGGTGGAATGACATTGTTGACAAAGAAGAACAAGGCATCCTCAGCTCGGAGATGAATTCGCTTCCGGATCAAGAAGTAGAACTGACCAACTGCCAAAGAGACAAGGTATGATAAAGTCCCAAATGGCCTCAAAACAACAGTCCCTGTGTGGAGCCTCTTCCCACAGAGACTGCACTCCCACCGCAGGAAGCAAACCTGGGTACCCGGACACGTCCCCACCTGTGAGATCAGAAGGCACCAGGTATTTCTTTTTGTCCAGGTCTCCTATCCGAGCTTTGGGAGCTTTTTCTACTATCACCTGATGAAGAGAAGATGAAAATTAGGAAACACTGGGTGGACAGCCCCACCATTACACCTGTCAAGAACTCAAGAAACAAAATTCTTAGCACTCAAGCCCATTCGACTCATTTTTCTTTGTCTGGGAACACGCGGTGCAGCCTCGAGTAGAGATCCTGACCCCACTGCGTAGGACTCGCCTAAACATCCAGGATCCCTAAGTAGGGCGTCATAATAAACAAGTCTCTTAATCAGGCAGGGATGACTCGACTGGGCCGACCAGAGCGTCCACCTCAAAACCCCAGCTAGCTGGGGGGGGGGATGGCCATGTGAAGCTCAGACTGTCAAACTCCCTGCAGCCTCCCAACCCACTCCCCACGTCTCTCCCTGCCATCCACGTCCCCTCACCCCCCGCTCTCCCGCTGCCCCGCTCCACTCAGCCTCGGGTCCCAGCCACAGCAGCGTCGGGCCGCTCCCAACCCCGCCTCGGCCGGCAGCCCGATGCCCACGCTGCCCGGCCGGACCCCAACCCCGGGCTGTGGCGTCAGCGCCAGCGCCCCGCGCCCTCGGCCCTGGCTACTGTGCTCACCGGAACCCGGTCCGGGTATTTCTTTCGGATCTTCTCGCCCTCAGAGCGGCGTTTCTCGAACGGATGCTCCTCTTTATACACGAACTTCATCCTCCCGGGAACCGGGCTGGACCGGGCTGGGCTGAGGGAACCCGGGGGGGCCGGGACGGGGGGCGGCGGCGACGGCGGCGACGCGCGGGCGGACTCAGCGGAGCGATCCCGGGACTTGCGCCACTTCCCTATTCACCAACCCCGCCCCCGACCGTCCGGGGCCGCCCCGCCTGCTACGTTACGCCACTAGCGCAGCGGCCCGGACGCAGCCGGCGTAGCACCACCTACTGACCGCCCCCCTCACGCCGTCTACGTAATCGCTTTGGAATCAATTTGTGGGCTACGCAGGCGACGTAGCAAAAGGTGGTTGGCTTGTGCTATGGTCGAAAATAACTGAAAACCCACGTTCCGACCTCCCCCCACCAAGCTGGAGACCAAAAGGGCTAGAAGCTGCTAATTATAATTTGAGGCTTGGTTTTCCGAAAGTTCTTTTCGGAAACGAGGTGAAGGGGGCGGGGGAAGGCAGAGATAATTATAAGGATAGCTATTCACGAAACGCGTTGGTACGCCGAAGGCGGCCGCTGACACCAAAACAAAGTAGTGCCCAAACGGAGGAGCCGGGTGTCCGGAAAGGAAGGAGGGCAGAAAGGAAATACATATTCGGAGAAACGCAGAGAACGCTTAGGTTCCGAGGAGGAGTGGACCAATAGGGACCGGAGAGGAGGTCCGAAAGGTAGGGACTACGTCAGCGCGGAGGAACACTATCACCGCCGTGCTGCGAAAAATCATGTGATCTCGGAGAAGGGCGGAGCGTCACGTGGCGGCCGCGGGAAGTAGAGCCGGCCG